CGCGTATTTCGACAATCAATGAGCGTTCAAATTTTGGAATCTAGGCGTCCGCATGCATAGGGCCACGACTAATCAAATTTCTTTAGAAAATATGCGACCTGCCTCCGCAACAGCGCTAAAGTCTCTCGTTCGAAAGAGACAACTCGGAACCAAAAAATCAATCGAACGGTTAACATCGAAACCGAACAAAGATCTAACCTGACGTGCAGGTCGAATTCGTTAATCGTCCCATCTCAATCATCGTAAAAACTCCCATGATCCGTGAGGACATTTTCAGAAACTTGTCCCGAGGTGTGCGATCTCTCCGTGGTCCTCATTCGTTCAAATTAACCGTTTGAGTCCCAGGGGGTATTGAAAAAACTCTGTCAAAGAATCCTGAACGGCGCAATCGCACTTTCTCTAAATGAGTACGAGAAGACCCAAGCAGCGCGATAGCGCTTCTTTTATTTTATGTCGATAAATCCCAAGCGGCGTGATAGCGCTTCGTTTATTTTACGTCGATGAATCCTAATCGGCGCGATAGCGTTTCTTGAATTGTAAGATTTATTATTTACATTAAAGGAAGGAGATGTACTTGGGTGAGTAAATCTGAGCGCGCGACTTCGACGATCGGTGACGCACCGCTAGTTGTCCAGAACGCTCGAAATGTGTTGGGTTTTCTCGACATAGAATCTGAACAGCGCGATCGCGCTGCTTGGGACTCAAACGGTTAATCTTATGGCGATATGTAGCGAATTGCATTCTTTCATTATCCTACCCACAATACTCGCCTTTCTATACGCGTATCTCTTCCTCCCGTATGTAAGGTATCGTTGGCTAACACATGCGATCTCTCTTTTACCCCCAGTTCTGGTTTGTCAGCCAACTTTTAGAGCATCAAGCGCTAACATAGGATCTGGGCTTCTATGGGACTTCTGAATTCTTTGCAGTAGGGCAATGGTGGACTTAAGAATCCATTATTCAAATTGCTGACACGGGACGCGTCGGTTAAAACAGTGTGGATCAGCATACTCTCGTGTGCATCGCCACGACATAACACTGTTAAATGCCGTCCATGCAACAAAGGCAAGATCCGAATTTTCCGGAGATTGGAAACAAGCCCATTTCCAATATGTTTCGTGAAGGCATCGAGGGAGTGAATCGCAGCTCGGAATTGAGAAATTCAAAGTCCGGAAGAAAAGAGAAGGGTAAAAAAACTCGTGGACCAGCGTCCGTCGCGTCAGCGCAGTCCGGACTGCTTCTCGGCGACGTCGCTCCGGCGAGTCGTCCACAACGGCGACGCAACCTAACCTAAGCTGACCTGACCTACCCCAGCGTACCTAAGCAATAAGAAGAAATAACCTGGAGAAAGATTGAAGAAGAAATCGCGACTCCGCAATCGATGCCAATTGACCCAACCCGATAAAATAGAACCTTTATAAAGGCCAATCCCCAACGGGTTCCTAACCTAATCCAACCTACCGCGACCGAACGTCCCTAAGTAAGGGTCGAGAAAAATTCCCGAATCCGCAATCTCTTGTAATTGACCTAGCCCGATAAAATTTAATCGATGAAAATTCTATTCCCAGAGAGTTCCTGACCTCATCCGGCTTACCTGCCTCTCGAGGTACCTAAATAATAACCGATGAATCTCCTCAAAGAAATCCGATAATTTCGGGAATTCCCAGGGCGGCGTAACGAACCTAACCTATCGGAGATACAGACAATGGGAGAAAGAAGGGATAGAAAATGTCTCGATTGTTGAAATTTTATGGGGGGTTCAAAATGTGGGGAAGAATTTTCAGGAAATTCGGAGAGGGTTGGGGTTAGGGGGCAGATTTCGGATTCGCGCCAGGTCGCGCAAGGGTGAGTTCGTGACGGGGTCGACGAAAGCCCCGGGAAGCGTCGCGGAGACTCGGAGACGGGAAAGCGCGGCCTGCAAGCCCCGAGGATGCGGAATCCGTGCGGAATGGGCCGAGGGTTGAGGGGAGGGAAGCTTGACTCACGTCTCTCATGTCAGTGCGGACTCGGCAGGCACGCAGCGACGCCGCGATCGCGATTCGCACGCAAACGCAATGGGCCTCGCGAGCGCACGGCGAGGGTACATCTCCCCCGGTCTGCACGAAGCTCGAGACTGGCGAGCTTTCGGACTCGGCTCGGGGTGAGCTCGGAGATTTCGAGCCCTCGAAGGCTTCGGCTCCGGCTCGGCTCGGCTCGGCTCGGCTCGGCTCGGGCTTCGGCTTCGGCGCGCGGGGTGCCCAGGAAGACCCGAGAGCGCCCGACCGCACCCGAAGACTGCCGAGCGGCGCCGAGGGTGGCGTGGCGGGGTAGCTTCGCCCCGCGAACGACGCGACGGGATCGAGGGGCGCGGAATCGACGCTGGGCGCATGCGCGGGGGCGCGCCATCTAGCGACGCGTCCTCGAACTCCGGCGCCGGTAACGGCGGGAGATACGAACGCAATGGAACACTCGGTGGAGTTATTCGAGCGTTATTCCCTAGTGGTGAATCTAGTAATTGACAATGAATCGACGCTTAGGGTGAAGTGAAACCCCCCTCAAATTAGTCGATTCGAATAAAACACTTTTTTCAAGGGTATTGGATAGAACCTTCTGAAACTTTGACACATGACTCGTGAGCACCTAGGAATTATCCTGGCACTTTCAAAGTTTTCATTTTTGACAAAACATTTTTTAACTTAGCCCAGACGAGAATCATAATGGCGTCGAGCTCTCATATTTCGATCGATGTCCAACTATTTAACGCTCTAATATGAGAAACGAAAGTGCCAAGACAATTGTACGACAATTTAGAACACTGGTAATCGTGAAGCTCGTATTTGAATGGGGATAAAGGCAAAAAAAGTGTCTTATACGCTGTCATGCTAAAACAATGATAATATGAGGTCTCGGAGTGAAAATTTAGTTGACACGGAATTCACAGATGGCGCAGGAGGTCCCTCTGCAGCTAATTACGTCCTTAGAAACTATAAATCCTGAGGATTTCTGGACTTTTACTTCAATTTTTTTATAATTATTGTACGAAAACGACAGGTGAAGTATCCCATTTAGTACAATACCCAATATAATTCGGCCCAGCTGTCAATATAAAAACGAACGTCGGCAATATAGGTATGTAGAAAAATCTTTTTTATAGACGTCGATCAAGTTCCTAGACGTGTTTCATTTCGCCTTAAGCTAGCGAGGTTTCTAGACCAACTCAATGGTGAAAATCACGGTTCTAACAAACGTGGAAGGAATTTAACCTGCTGCCCTGGCAAAGGGTTAAGACTCCGGAGCTCAACAGGTTTGCGTGCCGGAAGTGCCGGCTAACCGGAAGTCCACTCATCACCACCTCAAAGCTACCACCTCCGTTCGAGGACATTTTTCAATTACTACTTAACCGAGATTACGGTGTTTGTTGATTATTTCGGTGATCGCGATTGAAGATAATAAGAACGTCGTTACATCTTTCAGTTTACAAGCTTACCTTAATATTCGTCTATTGACGTCTATGAAAATCGCCCTGGCGACCCAATGGACGAATTGACTTAGAGTTTCGTACCGAGCAGCAGTGAATCTGGGTTAAGGATGCTTCCGATCGGTCCTTGGGTGCTGATGGTCCTAGAGTTATCCACGAGAGGCGTCCTCCTGCGGAAGGAAATTGGAATTTTTGTCGAAAGCGCAGGTTTAAGAAGTCCTGCAGACGATGGCTTTCGTTTGCTCGTAAAAAGGTAACTTTGCAGCCTTTGAAGAGCGAAGTGAAAACCACTTGCATGCAGGTTTTCTTCGATTATGGTCTAAGGATTCATTTATGAGTGTAAAATAGGAAAAGAAATTATTAACCATTTGCACTCTAAGCCTTTTTCGCCCGGACGACCCAGCAACTCGAGAGGATTTTCCGCATACTCGATGCATTTCATCCAGCTAAATTAAAATGAGTACGCGTACAAATTAACGTACAAAACTATTATATTTTAATATTTTCTGTTTCCTTTCATGTAGAAGAAGGAAATTTGTTAAATATTATGGACGGCATTGTTGCTTCGTATGGAATTTTATAAAACAATCGCCAAGATGCATCCTCGACTTGTCGGGGCAATTATTGCAGTAATATGTTGTTTGATGTCTTTCGCCGGGCTTATTTACCGAGTGGGAAATAATAACTAACATCTAACTTCCATGTTACTTTTATGCTACGTAACATGTTAGTTTCGAAAACGTAATATTTACCCAACAGTTATATAACAGTGTTCACTGGGTTGTTGCTGATCGGGTTTTCACATCAAACCAAATCGTGGCCTACGGTCACCTCTCGAGTCCAAAGGGTTAAGGTGAAGTGAAACACGTCAAGGAACTTGATCGACGTCGCTAAAGAAGATTTTTCTAAATCCCTACGTTGCCGACGTTCGTTTTTATATTGGCAGCTGTGTCGAATTATATTGGATATTGTACCAAATGGCATACTCCACCTGTCGTTTTCGTACGAGAATTATAAATAAATCGAAGTAAAACTCCAGAAGTCCTGTGAATTTAGGATTTCTCAGGTCGTAATTGACTGCAGAGGGACCCCCTGCGCCATCTGTGATTTCCAGGTCAATTAAATTTTCCCTCCGAAACCTCGTATTCCCATCGTTTTAGCATAGAAGCGCATGCAACACTTTTTTGCCTTTATCCCGTTAAAATGCGAGTTACCGATTACCAGAGTGTTCCAAATTGTCGTAAAATTGTTCTAACCCATTCGATCCTCATATCAGAGCCTTCGATAATTGTATATTAATCGAAATATGAGAGCTTGACGTCATTTTGGTTCTGGTCTGGGTTAAGTTAAACAATTTTTTCCAAAAATCCGAATTTTGAATGTGTCAGGACAATTCTTAGATGATCAGGAGTGACGTGTCAAAGTTTCGGACAGTTTGGTTTAATACCCTTAAAAAACAGTGTTGTAATCGAATCGACTGATTTGAAGGGGGTTTAATTATTTTTTAATTATAGGAAGGTCCAGAGAAAGGAAAACACGGAAGCTCGTCAATATCATTGATTCTTATTGCACCCGATGGGGCTCGATCATCGAACCTCGGGCTAGGTCTTAGGATAAGTACAAAATTGGCTAAGGATATTTCTATGCGCCCGCGTCGAGATCCTGCGGACCTCAAGAAGCGACGAAGTGTTAGAGAGGATCAACGACGCCGACATCTTCCTCGAAGTATCATTTAATCAAGGATCCAGGAGAGATCCTTGACGATCGACGGATGACGGCGTTGAGTATTGGTACACAGGATCGGCACGGAGAGTGAACTTCCCTACGAGCTCTTCGTCTTCTACTTCAGGCCGGAACGGAGATTCCTGGATATCACAGAACATTTTTCCTTTCGTCCTCTTTCCTGGAATAGAAAGTCCATATCTCGGGACGATTATAATCAGCGAAAGATACAGGAGCGGGTCAAAATTGAGTGTCCTATCTAAATTCCGAAAAGAAGTAACGCGTCTTGATCCTTTATAGAGAATTGCATCTTGCACTTTGTGTTGAAAATTGTACTCAAGAAAGAATGCCCTACTCTTTTTCACTGTATTTCTTATCGAGTGGCTGAAATTGATGAAGAGCAATTTAGTGTATATGAAAATCCACCACACAAGACTCTATCTAGTGATCAAGACGTGCATCTTTTGAAATACCCTCGAGAACTACATGTAGTCAATTTGAAACCTTAACTATTCCAAAACCGAATTTCCCTGACATAGCTGGGAAAGTTCACATTCCTGCATCGACAAACCTAGCTCGCCCTGAATTCAAGGAAACTAATGGATATTATTTACAACAGACCGCCAGATCGCCACGCGTATTTTCCTTTAACGCTGACAAGTACAATGATTCATCGACATTATCTGAAATTTACAGTAATCATTCGAGGAATGCGCAGGGATGTTACATATTTCGAAACGTTTGTCGTGCGCAAAATCGAGGTATCTCCGCGGGTGTTTCTTTGATCTTTTCTATACATATAGCAACGGGTAACGAATCTATTCTAATTACTAAATCCACTTAAATTAAATACACGGTCGAGTTCATCGTCGCCGACAGAGAATTAAAACAAATGGCTAGAATTTGTCCACGCGTAAACGTCACATCAGAATTTCAATTTCCATTTCTGACCTCAATCGGCGACGACGAAATCGGCGAAGGGATAATTCCACGAGAATCGAAAAAAGATCCCTACGGTTTAAAAATAATTTCCCTACTAATAAAGAAGAAATATGTACTTTAAAGTATCTTGGGTTCGCGTAAATTATTCACTTTCGGCGGTAGTCGCCAAACGCATCGGTCGGATTAACTTTTTGCACATAATTATTCAATTAATTATAACAGTGAATATCCTGAAAGTTTGTTTTGAATTGGCAGATCGCATAAGAGAATATTCCTCGACATTTACCCCTTTGTCAATTTATGGAAAGGAAGGCTCCGGTTTCAAAATCAACATTCTGAGCCCACAAGGTTGCGAAAAAGTTTATCGAAAATTGTTGTCATATGATTCCTGATTTCCGGCACTAATTAGATATACGAAAATCGCAAAAATCACGATGAACATGAATATAAAAGTTATTCAGTACATGTTTTGCATACATCTTTCTTATGCTGCTTTAGGTCGTTTATAAATTATAAAAATTGTCACATCTACGAAAGATAATGTCCGTTCCCTCATTTGGAAGGAAAATCGTCGAAAGTGTATATCTCTTCCCTAGAACACCTTTTTTCTCCTTTTCTTCCATCAACCCCACATTTTCTTACATTTTCCCATATTATGCTATTGCACCTCTTCTTATCAATTTACAAGTAATTTCTTCTAATCAATCCAAACGATTTCCAGTTTTCTTCAGTTTATTAAAAACAAAGTCCACCTCTTCATCGAATCCACTTTCTTTTGCTATTCTACCAGTCCGATTATGCATTTATCTTCACTGGGACTTTCTCATTGACTTCTACTACTTCCAACTAGACGCGTCAACGGCATTCATAAAAATTCTGTCTTGTCCTTTGAATCAAAACGACGCTTCTGGTCAAATAACCGAAGTCTTTCCATTGAAGTCACAGTGAAGTTCCCTCGTCCTTTCAGCATATCATCTCGCTTCTAAAAACGTCTTCCAGATGGAAATTCACAATACTGTCATGAATTTCGGTCTCAAGCAATTCGAACCTTCCGCAATGAGTTCTTCATCTACAGGCCGTTTTCGCTGGAATATCTTTTTCTGTTCCTTCAAATTCGACATCATCAATCTATCGTGAAGATCAATCCCTTCCTGCTGGTCCAGAATCGCTGAATTTGAAAAAATCAAAATCCAAGATTACCTTTGAGTCACACCCATTACCATTCGTATGTCCCACAAATCTGATAAAACGAATAGTCAGTTGCGGTTTCTTTGATGGAAATATTAGGACACCTCCAGATAGGTCTTTCCATTCCCAAAAAGCATTTCTTCCGTATCAGTTGAAGTTTATCGCACCCCGAGTGAAGCTAACACTACCGCTTATGGTTGGTCGACTTCTTCGGACTATCCGTGCCGACCTCGTTGCCCTCTCTTCTAGGTCTAAGAATGAAGTTCAGATTATGCGCGGTATTGACAGCGTAATATACATTGGCAGAGCTTGGTAGGACCATCTCTCGATCGGGCAGGACCTGCGCAAGGGTGTAACGATCAGGACTACCCTCGATCCCCAACTTCAGCATAGCGTTCCTGATGACCTGCGGAGTTCTCTCGTTATTCGAGAGCATTATCGACTTGTACAAAACGACCCCTTCCGTCTCGACGCTGTCGGATTCCATGGTGACCTTAATAATATAGAAGTCGGGAGAGTTCTTGTGGGAATGCGTTGGACTCGTGAGACCGGACAGATTCGGAGCACTTCCATTGGCAGTGGTGGCTGGAGGAGCCAGTCTGGACTGTCCGGAACTGGTTCCACCACCGGAACTTAAAGATACGTCCAAAGAAGGAAGAGACGAACTGGAAGACGAGCTGGACATCTGGGAAGGCGAGGTTCTTCGGTCCAAAGAGTTGTGCGGGGAACTTGGCAGCGAGTCCAGGTCGCAGTAGAACTGAGAACTGCTGGAACTCGAGGTCGACGCGATCGAGTCGTTCTTCCGATGCCCTTGGTGATTCTAAAAACAAGCCCAAAGGTATTAAGGGGATACCAAAGGCGCCAAGAAATTTAATCGACGTCGATGTAGCAGAATTCATCTATACCCTTTTTGGTGGGAATGCCGTTTTGAATACTCAAGTGGTAACATAAGCTGGCGCGTCCCATTACCGACATTTATATCTATGTTGATGTCTTTTACAGTCTACGTTGAGAATTATACGAACTGAAGGGTTCTGTATGTCATATCGGTAAAGTAATGATAAAAAGATCGATGTAAAACTGCCGAAATCCATGAATTCATGACTGTTTATATTTTGACGGGCCAACGTCGCCATCTGTGACGTTTAGCTGTAACTAAATTTTTGCTCTAAAAACACGCAGCATTTTCTTGTAATCGTTGGTGAAAGTATTTACCATATTTTCCCATCTGACTCTGTAATATTCCATTTCTACGGTATTCCAAATTTTTCGAGCTAGGTCCTGAAACTCTTCATTTTTTATTCTAAGCCTCCAAGAAGCGTAAAACATCGAAAACGTGCCCGGACCACGCCATGTTGGTTCTAGTCCATGAGTAAATAAATGTTTGATAAAAAATAAAATTTCATGAAGTTCAGGACCTACTTTAGGGCCTCCATATTCCCGTGGGAAAATTTGAAACCAATCAGTACCCCCAATTCGGAGAATACTTTCCTCAACGATTTGATTTCTCAGAAATATATATGGGCTGACTTTTTCATATCCTCTTAAGGTGAAGTGAAACCCCTGTCAAATCCATCGACTCGAATAAGAGACGTTATTCTAAGGATATTGGATCGAACCGTTTGAAACTTTGACATATGACTCGCGAGCACCTAGGAATTATTCTGACACTTTCAAAATTTAGATTTTCGAACAAAATTTATTAACCTAGCCCAGACCAGAAACAAAATGGCGTCGAGCTGTCATATTTCGATCGATATACAATTGTTGATGGCTCCAATATGAGAAACGAAAGTGTCAGGACAATTGTACAATTAAAAACACTCCGGTAATGGAGAAACTCGAATTTGCGTGGAATAAAAGCAAAAAAGATATTTTATGCGCTGCTATGCTACAACGATGAGAATACGAGTAAAAATTTAGTTGACACGGAAATTACAGATGGCGCAGGGGTCCCTCTGTAGTCAATTAGAGCCTCAAAAACCACGAATCTACAGGATTTCTGGAGTTTTACTTCAATTTCTTTATAATTAATCTATGAAAACGACAGGTGGAGTATGCCATTTAGTACAATACTCAATATAATTCAACCCAGAGGTCGATATAAAAACGAACGTCGGCAACATAGGTATTTAGAAAAGCCTTTTCTACCGACGTCGATCAAGTTCCTCGAAGTGTTTCTCTTCACCTCAACGATACGAATTAGCATTCTATTGCCACTCTAGTATACGCTTCTTTTTATTAAAAAACGATAAACTAAGGTATAAAATCCTAGAAGGAACAAGAGTATTTTAAAATTCTGCAGCTGTGCAGATTATGTTTCTTGTCTCAATTATTATCGTTATCAAACCAACCTGCTTCTTCTTTGCTCGATTATTAATGGTGTTCCCAGGTGGAGGAGGTTCGATCTGACAGCTCAGTCGGTAAGCCTCTCGATCATCCAAGACGACGATCGAGTGGAACCACCGGTCGAAAAGCGGATCCGTGCTGAAATTGTACGCATTCGCGGCACCCTGAAGAAGCCGTATCCTCGCGAGGACCTCGAATTCTTTTCGCCTTTTGTCGAAGTTGATGAGGCCCTCCGCAACCGTGTCAGGAATCGCTGTGTCGATCATCGTCAGGTCCGTCAGAAACGTTCCCAGGTAGGGTATCGTCCCATAGCTGATGTTCTACAAGACAAAAGAAATATTAATTCTCTAGCATATAATGAGTCAACTTTGTCATTTATAATTTTTCCTCGTTATTTAATCAGTAACATCAACTACAATTTAGTACGGTTAAGAGGATATGAATTGGTCAGTCTATATATATATATATATATATATATATCTGAGAAGTCAAATCGTTGGGGAAAGTATTCCCCGAATTGGAGGTACTGATGCGTTTCAAATTTTACCACGGGAATATGGAAACTCTAAAGTAGGTACGGAAGGTCATAAAATTTCATTTTATATCAAACATTTATTTACTTATCATGGACTAGAACCAACATGGCGTGGTCCGGGCACGTTTTCGATGTTTTACGCTTCTTGGAGGCTTGGAATCGAAAATCAAGAGTTTCAGGACCTACCTCGAATAATTTAGAATACCGTAGAAATGGAATATTACAGAGTCAGATGGGAAAATGTGGTAAATACTTTCACCAACGATTGCAAGAGAATGCTGGCTTGTCCTGCGGCTAACACGTGTTTTTTGAGCAAAAATTTAGTTGCAGTTAAACGCCACAGATGGCGACGTTGACACGTCAAAATATAAACAGTCATGAATTCATGGATTTCGGCAGTTTTACATCAACCTTTTTATAATTACTTTACCGATATGACATACAGAACCCTTCAGTTCGTATAATTCTCAACGTAGACTGTAAAAGACATCAACATGAATATAAATGTCGGCAATGGGACGCGCCAGCTTATGTTCCCACTTGAGTATTCAAAACGGCATTCCCACCAAAAAGGGTATAGATGAATTCTATTATATCGACGTCGATTAAATTTCTTAGCGCCTTTCATATCCTCTTAAACAGGGTCCGATTCTCAGTGTTTCACAAATTGTATCAACAAACTTTATCGAAAGAAAGGAACTCGAGACGACATCGACCATGGACAACCCACCCCGGAATGAACGTTCTGCTTCTGGAAGATCTTCTGCAAGTGTCTGTCGCTCCTGCCAGCGGTATCGGCGAATTTGGCAGTGCCCTCCTTGATGAGGAGTTCCCTCTGGGTCCAGGCGTTGTTCTCCTCGGAAAAGATTCTCTCGAGCTCCCTAAAGACCTCGTGCTTCTCCCTTGGCATGCACTGCCAACACTTCTCGAGCCTATAGACGGGATTGCTTTGAAGGCCAGAAACTATGGCCTTCAAACTGCTGAAGTTTTTGAGGACCCTTAACTCCTGGGCGACGTCGATCCAGGTTTCGAGGATCCTGGCCCTGTCCTGGGCCTTCGAGTTAGGGTCCATCAGGATGGTCGAGATCACCCTGAGGGAGACGGCATTGAATTGGTTGACCGTGGCCAAGACCGTCGCGGCGTCGTGACTCCTGGAACGGTCCCTCCTTGACCAGACCGCTCCCAAACACTGATGAGCGATCAACTTCCTGAAGACCTCGGCGTCCATTCTGGTGAGCTGCTCCGCGAAATGTCGATGGGGAACCTCGGGGAAGGTGTAACATTCGGCCCAAGGCTCGATATGGTCGCTACCAGCGTGCAGGTTGACTCGACCATTATCGTAGACCATACAAGAATCTAAGGCAGAAAGAATATTCATATTATTATGGGTCAGATGACCGTACCGAGCGATCAAGAAACTCGTAACATTCGCGACCGGCAAATTTTTTCCGTTTCTAACACTGAGTACCGGCGAAAATACTGAAATTCTGAAACTGGCTGCCGCAAACTTGTATCGTGTATCGTTATGGACGTGATTCACGTCAGCGGCAATCAGGAATAGAATTTAAAATGACGTGAATTCACGTCAGCGGCAACCAGGAATAGAATTTGAAAAAGCGTGAATTCATGTCAGCGGTCGCGAATGTGTTAAGATGAAAGGCGCTGAGAACTTTAATCGACGTCGATAAATTAAAATTGATCTATACCCTTTCTCGTGGTAACGCCATTCTGAATACTCAAGTGATAACATTTACGGGTGCGTCCCGTTACCGATATTTATATTTATGTTGAAGTCTTTTACAGTCTACGTTGAGAATTATACGAACTGAAGCGTTCCGTATGTCATTTCAGTAATGTAATGATAAAAAGATCGAATACCATCAACAAATGTTATAAATGTGTTCGCTTGTTTAGCAAGTTTCGACATGTCAGTACAGATTTATTATCTGTTGCAAGCGGATGTTTTTATTGCGACAATCTTTTCTTCTTGGTTTTATGTGAAAAACCGTAAAAGTAAGTTTATTTTTATTCCAAACTAGCAAAGGTACCCATTCTAAGAATGGGAATGTGTCGTGTCTGTTATTTCATTATTCTTCTTAGGCCCTATCATATGTGTTCATTTTTGTTTGTTATTTTATAAATTTTCCATAAAGCTCCTACTTCATCATTCATTTACGATTTAACAGAAAGATTTACATACAGTTGAATCAGAGATCTTTCAACTAACACGATTCTATATGTATTTTNGTAAAAATAAATCAACTTTGTTCAATTTAAAAAGAAATAAAATATCTGTGCAACATGGGCTTTTTTATTCTCTAAAATTCCGTGCCTCAAAGGGTTAAAGTTTCGGATAATTCAATGCACTCAGTTTGGAGAAAAGTTTTATGAACATTTTCACGTTTTGATATATACATAGAATGACCCTTTCATACCACCCTAGAGAATGGTTTTTCTATTTTCAAAATGAAAAGATCCAAAGGGGACCGGGAGGAAAACCAAGACGAGGACCCACCAATTTGATCCTCGCGCTGAAACCTGTGCAGCCGATGCCTGGCTTTGATTTCGAGCTCCGAGCCCGGAAGACGTTTGTGCGTGAACTCCAGGAGTCTGTTCAGAAGAGGATGGCCCGGAGGAGCCTTCCAGTCCCCGGGGTAGGCGTCCAGCCATACGTGGAGCGCCTGGACCAGAGTCTTGCGATGCTGCTCGCCGGAATTCTCGTCCAGGGCATCGTACCTGGAGAGCAACAGCTCCAAGACCTCTTTCGGCGTGGTAAAGGCCCTGTAGGTCGCCAGGAAGACGTTGATGTAGGTCGTCTCCAACTCTCCGTCATCGTTGGCCAGGCTTTCGACCAATCTCTGGACGGTGCCCGCCTTCAAGAACCGCACCCTGACGGTCTCCCACTCGAGATGCGATATCTCGTCGTCGGAATCCTAAATCGGCAGAAAAAATCGGTCAGATATTTCATATCGGTATCACCCTCGAAATCCATCCTTAAGAAAAAATCCGTTTTTAACGTTTCGTTAAAAAGAATCACGTGATAACTGATAATGGATGTAATTATGAATATTTTACTCCCTCCGAGTATCTCTTTTTTCGGGAAAAACCTTTTAAGGTGAAGTGAAACACGTCGAGGAACTTGATCGACGTCGATAAAAAAGGTTTTTATAAATACCTACGTTGCCGGCGTTAGTGTTTATATTGACAGCTGTGTCGCATTATATTGGGTATTGTATTGTTGTAACACTAAATGGCATACTCCATCTGTCGTTTTCGTAGAATAATTTTAAAGAAATCGAAGTAAAACTCCAGAAATCCTCTGGATTCGTGGTTTCTGAAACCCTAATTGACTGCAGAAGGACCCTTACACCATCTGTGGCTTTCATGTCAACTAAATTCTCACTTCGAGACCTCGTATTCCCATCGTTTTAGCAGAGCAGAGCATAAGACACTTTTTTTGCCTTTATCCTGTTCAAATGCGAGTTTCTCGATTACCAGAGTGTTCTAAATTGTCGTACAATTATCCTGATACTGTTGTTTCTCAGTTTAGAGTTTTCAATAACTGTATATCCGTCGAAATATAAAAGCTCGACGCCATTTTGGTTCTGGTCTGGGCTAAGTTACAAAAGTTTGTTTGCAAAATCCAAATTTTGAAAGTTTCATGATAATTCCTATGTACTCGCGAATTATGCGTTAAAGTTTCAGACGGTTCTATCCGATACCCTTGAACAAAAGTGCCTTATTCGAATCGACTGATTTGAGTCACTTCACCTTAAAAACCTTTCGAAGGTTCTAAATACAAAACGCAATTTGAATCTAGGCAACGTGGCACGGCGTATTCTCGAGAAAATCAGCCGGTAAAAGCCTTCTCAGGAGAGAAAATTGATTTAGTGGGATATGCAGGTACTTGGTGCATTTCATGATCTGGCGGATTAATTAAAATTATGCGAAGTGACTGATTTGAAGGGGGTTTCACTTCACCTTAAAAATCTTTCGAAAATCCTAAATACGAAACGCGATTTGAGCCCAGGAAACGTGGCATGGCGTATTTTCGAGAAAATGAGCCGATAAAAGTGTTCCCAGGAGAGAAAATTGATTTAGTGGGAAGTACAGGTACTTAGTGCATTTCATGATCTGGTAGATTTATTAAAATTATGCGAAGTGACTGATTTGAATTGGATTTTACTTCACCTTAAGAACCTTTCGAAGGTTCTAAATACAAAACGCGATTTGAGCCCAGGAAACGTGGCACGGCGTATTTTCGAGAAAATCAGCTGGTAAAAGCGTTCTCAGGAGAGAAAATTGATTTAGTGGGAAGTACAGGTACTTAGTGCATTTTATGATCGCGCGGATGCATTAAAATTATGCGAAATGCAGTAAAATCTTACCGAGGCTGAGAGGCTCCTGGTTGGTCGGTGATACCGGACTTTCTTCAGGTAAACCGTGTAAATGACACCGTCCCCTCTCTCCTCGCCCCATAGTCGCCACGTGGGCTGTGGAAGAGCATAATTTCATGTTAGTTAATCCACCGGCTTATTTCATAACGACAGAATTTGGTACGATAACTCTCAGGGACGTCTCTAGGCCGCGCGCCGTCAATAGTCAACTGCTCTAATGAGCACTAACCGAGACAGATGGGACTCCCGGGGACTTGCAACGGATAGGCAGGCTCGTTATCACGTAATCGTTTCGACATATATTCCGCTAATCGAATAAATCGAGCCCCTCTTATCAAATTAACATCGCAAGTTCAACGTATCTTGAAAAGGTGTCCACAAGTAGGGGGAAAAAGATTGTGCAACGAAACTTGCGAGTAAAAGAAAGATAAAATATGTAGCAATGTGTCTACACACACATGTGCGACTAAATCGAGCATATTTTATCAAATTAAGAATGCAAGGTAAACGTATCTTCAAAAGGTGTCCACGAGTAGAGGGGAAAAGTTCGCGCAATGAAACTTGCGAGTAAAGGAAGATAAAATATGTAGAAATGTATCCACACACACATGTGCGACTAAATCGAGCATCTTTTATCAAATTAAGATCGCAAGTTCAACGTATCTTCAAAAGGTGTCCACGAGTAGGGGAAAAAGATCGCGCAATGAAACTTGCGAGTAAAAGAAAGATAAAATATGTAGAAATGTATCCACACACACATGTTCGACTAAATCGAGCCTCTTTTATCAAATTAAGATCGCAAGTTCAACGTATCATCAAAAGGTGTCCACGAGTAGGGGGAAAAAGATCGCGCAACGAAACTTGCGAGTAAAAGAAAGATAAAATATGTAGCAATGTGTCTACACACACATGTGCGACTAAATCGAGCATTTTTTATCAAATTAAGAATGCAAGGTAAACGTATCTTCAAAAGGTGTCCACGAAAAAGATCGCACAACGAAACTTGCGACTAAAAGAAAGACAAAATATGTAGAAATGTGTCTGTCTCGATGAATTTACAATCGCGAGTGAAACAACATACTTGTGAAAGATACAGAACATCGGGGAGAGAAAATGTACATTGTTGTTTGCAACAAGTTTAGCGAATTTTGCAAAAACTTAGTGTTCTTTATTAATCTCAAATTGCAAGTACAACGACGTTATGACACGACAGGTACTTCATAAATACCTTTATTAAGAAATGAAACATAGGATTAAAAAAGGAAACATGCAGAAATACATTCATGAATTTCTCGTGCATTCATGTTCATGCGTCACCTTGCATTACCTTTTCCGGCAACTGATATATACTATTTTAACACTAGAACTACCAAGAACAGGTAAAATGACTGGTTTCAAATGGCTCATCCTATACAAAAAAAAAAATCCGCTGGTAGTTCTAGTGTTAACCAGAGATAGATTTTCATCTCTCCAAAACTAAACAACTGGAAAGAAATCGCCTGTGTTAAAAATTTAATATCAACAAATGGAAACATAGAATTCCATAATTACTATAGTAAAATTCTGCCTTTGACAAAATTACAGAAACGGTTTAAGCGTAACATTTTTAGCACCGCCCAATTGGAATAAAAGATGCATAATAAGAAATACGTGACATGCAGAAATGCATCCATATACAATCCGCGCAATCGAACCTTCGTTTCCTCTTGCACTCAGTTATCAAGTCATTTTGTAATATACATTAACCTGAAGTGATATTTCTAATTCGTTAGTACTAAACGGTAGCAAAAATGCTGTTGGTACCAAAAGGCAGAAACATAGAATCCGCAATTGCGAAACATCCCAAATTCGGATTCTTCGACATCTAACGCTGAAACTATAAAGATGTCGAGCTCGCGTTTAAAGAAATGTTGAAAACCTTTACCTACAAAATTCCTAACACAGGAAATCTTTGAAAACCACCCAGTAGTATAGTCATGTGACCTGCTTTTCATATAGTTTAATATTAAAGGACATTTCTCATTCTTATGCGAGGTCGACGTGCTGCATTTTTATACGCCATTGAAAATAAATGTATGTAACCTCAAAAATAACCATGAAATGTAAGTAACCATGAAAAAAAATGTGCGTATCCTCCGTAGGATGCAAAGTTCTTTCCGAAAGGTGTGAAAAAGTCAAAGACGGTGCCTGGCTGTGCATGAGAACAGGCACTCACGATTTTCCGTGACTCATTCACGGTCGGAACGACGAGAGTCCCCGCTTGTCACTTGTAAGTCACCTGTTAGTTGCACCGCGAGCTATAAATGCAGCAAATGCAGTGCCCGGTGCACTGACAACTGCACTCGCGACACCCACCTCTAAATCGAGATTAGTGACCACTGCTGATTCTATAATGCGACTATAAATGAAAGACCAGCCGTTAATCGCGTACGGTAAGAATATGAAAAGACTATTTTAAGGTGATGTGAAACACGTCGAGGAACTTGATCGACGTCGATAAAGAAGATTTTTCTAAACACCTAGGTTGCAGATGTTCGTTTTTATATTGACTATCGTGTCGAATTACATTGGGTATTGCACCAAATGGCGTATTCCACCTGTCGTTTTCGTACAATATTTATAAAGAAATCGAAGTAAAACTCGAGAAATTCTCTGGATTTATGGTTTCTGGGGCTCTAATTGACTGCAGAGGGATCCGCTGCGCCATCTGTGATTTCCAGGTCAATTAAATTTTCACTCCGAGACCTCGTATTCCCATCTTTGTAACATACCAGCGCATAAAACACTTTTTTTGCCTTTATCCTATGCAAATGCGAGTTTATTTTGTTTACCAGAGTGTTCTAAATTGTCGTAAAATTGTCCTGGCACTTTCGTTTCTCATATCAGAGCCTTCAATAATTGTATATTGATCGAAATATGAGAGCTCGACACCATTTTGGCTCTGATCTGGGCTAAGTAAAAATTTGTTTGATTCTGTCAGGACAATTCTTAGATAATCACGAGTTATGTGTCAAAGTTACAGACGGTTTGGTTCAATACCCTCAAAAAAAAAGTGTTTTATTCGAACCGACTGATTTGAGGGGGGTTTCACTTCATCTTAAATAGTCGTATAGATGTTTGTCTTGAAATGTTGACACGAGAGTCATTAATCCAATTATTCTTATTCATATTCTTATTTTTCTTTCATTAATAGTCATTTCAAGAATGATATCAGGAAATAAATCTCATTCCATTAAGATGGTATGAAAGGCGCTGAGGAATTTAATCAACGTCGATAAATTAAAATTCATCTGTACCCTTTTTGGTGGTGACGTCATTTCGAAAACTCCAGTGGGAACATTTAGCTGGCGCATCACGTTACCGACATTTATATTTATGTTGAAGTCTTTTACCTTCTACTTAAAGTAATGATGAAGAGATCGACGTCAAACTGTCGAAATCCCGCGAATTTATTATTCTACCGACTGTTTAGGACCAACATCGCCATCTGTGACGTTTAGCTGCAACTAATTTTTTGCTCTAAAAACAAGTGTTAGCCCCAAGACAAGCCAATCTTGGCTCGTGCAATCATTGATGAAAGTAGTTTCCATATTTTTCCTTCTGACTTTGTAATATTTCATTTCTGTAATCTAAATTGTTCGAGCTAGGTCCTGAAACTCTTCGATTTCGATTCTAAGTCTCCAAAAAACGTAAAACATCGAAAACGTGCTCGGACCACGCCACGTTGGTTCTAGTCCATGAGAATTAAATAAACTTTTCATGATAAATGAAATTTCGTGAGTTTTAGGACCTACTTTAGGGCCTTCATGTTTATGTGGTAAAATTTGAAACGAATCGGTACCCCCAATTCGGAGAATATCATTTTCGATTCTAAGTCTCCAAGAAGCGTGAAACATCGAAAACGTGCACGGACCACAACATATTCGTTGTAGTCAATAATAAATAAATAAATGTTGGATGAAAAATGAAATTTCATGAGTTACAGGACCTACTTTAGGGCCTTCATATTCATGTGGTAAAATTTGAAACGAATCGATTGAAACCAATTTGGAGAATACTTTCCCCCTCGATTTGACCTCTCGGATATAGGCTGACGTTTTCATATCACTTTAAGGTGATATGAAAGTGTAATATATACGTACCAAAAAGTGAAAATATATATATAATTTTTCCTCAAACTGGGTGCACCGAATTATCTGAAACTTTAACACGTGATTATGGAGGCTCTAAGGAAGAACCCGCTTCCCGTGAAATTTCATTTTTCGAAAATAAATATCTTTTTTTGGTTCTTATCCGAGACAAATGCGAAATTATTTTTCTAAAAATGAAATTTCACGGGCAGAGCGTTCTTCCTTGAAGCCTCCATAATCACGAGTTAAAGTTTCAGATAATTCGGTGCACCTAGTTTGGAGAAAAGTTTTATAATTATGTTGACTTTTTGGTACGTATATATCACACTTTCATATCACCTTAATACGTCCAATGTAATGACCATTTGCGTCAAATTTTGGTAATGAATTTGTTTTTGGTACGTATATATCACACTTTCATATCACCTTAATACGTCCAATGTAATGACCATTTGCGTCAAATTTTGGTAATGAATTTGTTTTTGGTACGTAGATATCACACTTTCATATCACCTTAATACGTCCAATGTAATGACAATTTGCGTCAAATTTTGGTAATGAATTTGTTTCATCTACAAAGTAATTAACTGGTAAAAAACGATCCGCTGATATTAATAACGAACAATGGGCGGAATATAAATCAAGCGATCGACGAGATTAAAAGATTTAATTGCTTCGCCCTCGTCACTGTTCGTTAACCCACCGATCGACATTTATCGTCAGTATTTAGTATTGACAGCCATCGGTCGATTATATTTCACGAACTTGTGAATTAATTATTAAACGAGAAAATGTAAAGGCTGTTTCCAAGGCATTGAATCAACGAACGGCTGTAGAGAGAAACACGAGTTAAGAATGTCGGGCAAGATATCATCTAATTGCAACAGCAATCAAGTAATTGGTATCACTTGAGTAACGGCGAACAATCGCTCTGTCCTTGTTCAACGCACTTTGTAATTAAATACC